TTGAGATTTCGGTGAGAACTCGGAAGATGTGCCAAGAGGCAACGATTACAAACTGCTAAGTGTCACCGATACCTTGGTAGACTGCAACCGAAATAGAGCGAGCGTTCGTAGTAGTTAAATAACCAGTCGACCGCGACATTTTCAAGGACATTGCCAGAGACACACGATTGGGTTGCCCGCAGGTTTTTCTGAAAAATAGAGACTATCAGTATCGTCGTGTGAAGCAATAAGTCGCGATGATAAAAAAACTAGATAGAAAACCAATAAATGCCTTGCACCCTCGGCAAAATAGTCATATTATTATGAATCACAGAAATTTGGATTGCTATCGAGTTTACGAAGATAATTGATGGAATAACAGTATGTCGTACGTATGTATATATATATATAGATTCATTGTATAGTCGCGAAAGCCTCGACTTTGATCTCAATGTGTGTTGCTCAAAGTGGAATAGATCATCGAACTTTGATATATCAATATGATGATGTATCGAACAGCTATTTAATAATCACTTAGCATAAAGACAGAAAAACAAATGTTGCATTTTTAACACGAACATTATATGTTACACAAAGAGAATAATTACGCACTTTATGTACTTACAAAAATAAAATAAGCACAATTATAGAATTACCTAAAAATACTTTGATGATTGATGACCATCGCAAAATTATTACAGACTTCATTATTTCAGAATTACATTAATTGAATAATTATCGATCTTATTATGGAAACATGTTCCATGCAACAAATGAAACAAATATTACGATTACAATTTTTGTATCTGCTATAATATCTTTTTATTTGCTATTTATAATGATTTTTCAGTAAGAATGCAAACGAGCGTTAAAATCACGAACGGGCTATTAAAATACTTGTTTAGTACCGTTCGCGAATTCGACAGCGAGCGAGTCATTCGCTTGTAAACTATTTCTAGGCTAGTCGAAAAATAGCAGCAATGGTGGGACTGTTAAAAAGCTGCTGCACCGATTACGCGATTGACGTGCGGAAACGCATTTCTCTCTCTCTCTTTCTCCTTCTCTTTTTCTTGCCCTCTCTTTGCTTCATGCGTAACGAAATTAAACTCTCTCGCCGGGTAGTGAATCATACTTAAGCACAGTCTAGATTAGTTTGCATCGCGCTACCATCACACTTGGTGTCCAAAGCTGTGCTTTTTATAATTCGATAGGAAACGGTTTATAATTATCATAATTTTTATTCGATAGTTATCAGGCGAATTTTGAATTTTAGTCTTAAAGTAGTAATTTGATTATTGAATGTATGTGATAAATGTGAGATTAATTAACGAATAAAATAATTATGTTAAAAATATTTGAAAGTGATTTAGTTCAAGATAAAGTTGTTGAAGTAATTTTATCGAGATAAATTAAAAAGAATTTGAAATAACTTTATAAAGATAATAAAAGATAATTTTTTGTAAAAATTAATTGATTATCAAGTGTTATGAAATTATGATGATTTAATTCAGAATATTAATAAAAAAGAATTATTGAGAGTAATTTTATTGAAATTATCGACAAATATGCTTTAATTTCTTCCAGAAATTTTGTCAATAAATAATAAATTATTTATTTTACGAGAATATTTATTTCGAGCGTCGTAATTCGTTTTTAATTGTCTAAAAAAATAATTATCGATTTTATTTTCATATCAAAAGGGTGATGTAAATCTCATTTAAAATATGAGCGCACCGTGGCCAATACATCGTGGAGTATTGCATCGAAAACAGTTCGAAAAATCGCGAGTGGTAAGTCTTGAGAAAGTTTCAATTCGGATCTCTTTTTCTTGCCTTCGATAATATTCGATATTCTCGATAAATTACTGAATCATAATAAGCCATTCGATAAACAATTTCGCAAAACCGAATTAGACAGTTAAAAGAACTTCCTTATGGAATTATGCTCATTGTTGGCATAAATCTTTGAAAACATCCACTGACGGGTTGGAATGTATTTAAAATTGAGGGTTTGTTCACATCATTCGCGATTTTTTAAAATACCGCATGTGATTGAGCTAAGAAAGCAAAGATGGCCTTGTGCGATCGAGTGTTCATCATTTTTAAGTGGGAAGTCAATTGAAGAAATTTGTCTGAATGGCTATGAAAAAGAAAACAATTCATGCGAAACGGCTATGAAAAAAAAAAACAAATGATACAGGATTAAGAATTATTAATTACAATTATTAAAATGAAAAATAGCAGCGTTAAAAAAATATAAATATTATATATATTCGATCTCAGAATAAATATCATGCTTTTAGAAGCTAATGAGAAGCTGTTTCAAGAATAATTTCAATATCAAATGTATTCAAATTTAATGTAATATAAAGATTGAGACGTAATTAATTATTATTCTGTTAGTTTTACATTACTCGGTTGTGGGCTCCATGGAGCGATTTCTGCGACGAGATAATATTCTTTTTCATCCGTTAATATATATTTATTCACGGCATTATCATTGACGTCATGAATTGCAAAGCAAGGTGGTAGCAAGATCAGTGTAATAGCAGAATCGTGCTTAATACGTCGCGTAACACAAGCGGTTGTGACGAAATGCTCAAATTATATTTAGAGAAATACGTCGGGAGAATCTCAGGCGACAGAGAGGAGAAGAAAGATCGATGACGAGAAGACAAAACGAGCGAGACCGAGCCTTCCACAATGCCGATCATTGTATCGTGAAGTCTCGAGAAGGAAAGTACCATTGTATTTTCCGATACTTGAAGAGCGGTGATAGTGATAAGAACAAGACATTGGTGTTATATTGGGTATTCAATATCTACATATATATTATTTAGTATAATTGGATGCTTGACGTTTATCTGTATCAGATTAGTTTGATCGCGATTAAGAATTAGAATTAATCAGATTAAAATATTCCCGCTTCCTATTCTCTCTGCAACGATAAGGTATTTTCTTTAGTATAGCAAATTAAAAAATAAATGTAATAACGACAATCTTATAAATGATCAATTATTTTAATATTATATTATTGGATTTTCAAAATGAATTTTGAATCTTCATCTTATAGGTATTCATTATTTTTCTGTGATACTAATTTCATTTCTAAGAAATTTATTCTTTACTTCATGTAAATAAAGCAAAACATTTTAAAGAATGAAATATTTATTTTTAATGTGATATGTAGAATTATATTATGTTTTCTTTCTGACGGTATATTATACATGCATTATAAATAAATGTTTGCACAATATTCTTGCAATTTCTCGATTCTTTGCATTATTCGAATGAGATGAATAATTGTTAGATGAAAGATTAGAATGACAGAAATGCATATGTAATTATGCTATCCGTGAAGTGCGTGTTGTGGCTACATGTGGTGTACAGAACACCAAAAAAAATCCAGAGTATAGTGCAACAGTTGTACTCTCTTGGTACGAGATACTATCGTCTATCTGTCACTGCAAATTAGCACCATAAGTGAACTTTCGATAATACGCGCTAATTCTCTACAACGCGCGGAACTTTACAACAGTATGTCATAGAGCTAACAAATATATATATTTATATATTACAAATATATATATTATTATTACTTATATCACTGAATTTGACCTTGATTTTTTATTAGAAAAATAAAATTAAGTTGAATTAAAAAATTAAAATTAAAATTAAATTTACTCTTAATTGTAAAGCGATGTTTTTTTCTGATTGATTAACAATAAACGATAATTAGATATTCCATAACAAATATTGATTTTTCTTATGTAATGTAATAAAGTGTAAATGATAAAAATAATGATAATTGGTAAGATAATGATTTCTCGTGCCGAAAAAAGAAATGTAGTAAACAAGAATTTCATATATTTTCTGTATATTCATTTCTTGTTTCTGCACGAGAAATCATGCAGTTATCGTACAATTATATCATTATTTTTACCTTATTTTATTATATTATTACATCAGGAAAGTCGATATTTGTTACAGAATAATTAATTATTATTTATTGTTAGCCAATTAGAAAAAATAATATTATTTTACAATATTATTTTTAAAATTTTTAAATAATATTGTTTTACAATTAAAATTCGTTTAAAATTCGTAAAAATTTTTTTTTTATTTTTCATTTAATTTTTATGTGATTTTTTTAGAAGAACGATTGTATTATACAAATATTAAATCTTGAGATTAAAAAATAACAATTAAATTTAAATCATCGAACTGTAAGGTTTTAATGAATAAATTTAAATATAATAAAAATGTAATATAATAACCCATTTAAATAATAAAATAAAAATCAGAATACAGGGCTGCGAACAAAGCTAGATGTTAAAAGCTAGATGTTAAAATTTCTATATATACAATATAATTTATAAACAATCTAAACCAGACGTAATTATGGATTCTCTGTTGCAAGATCTCTTGATTGCGAGTGATAGCACAAAGAAATCGGAAAAGTTTTTGTAATAATTCGAGTTTTTGTAATAATTGATAAAAAGATGAATTATTAATTGATAAGTTTAACATATTACTCGCCAAGTGCCACTATTATGTTAAGATCATATATTAAAACGTTTTTTTAATTTCTTCAAATTTTTTATATTTTGATATATTTGACTAATTTTTTTAATGGATACCGTCTCCACTATTTATATAGAACGATTTATATATAACTATGAATTTATTACAATAATGCCTCTATTGATTGCAGGAAATAATATATTCGGATTAATTTTGGACATTAAAGAGAGTATTGTGTGCAGTTTTTATTATTTGTATCGCAGAATTTTTAAATTTCTGTGTAACATTGACATCGGGATCTGGTTTAGATTGTTTATAAATTTATATTATATATAGAAATTTTAGCATTTAACATCTAGCTTGATTCGTAGCCCTAAATTTTTATTTTTAATTTCAAATAATAACTCGGTTCAAATATAAATCTTGTTTATTTATTATTTAAATTAAAAAATAAGTTTGCGATTAATAGAAGAAATATTGAATATATTTCTTTTTCAGGAACAGAGAAGCTTGAAGGCTGGCGATCTCTCGCATCAAGAGAGTAACAACATGGCAGCATCTACCATGAAGCTTCAAAGTGATTCTTTTACTTCCGAGAAGGTAAGTAAATAGAATTAATTTTTTTGAAAACTTTGTTAAAAAGAATATGGAAAACTACAAAATTCTCTTCGGATAATCGAACATCTTGATGAAATAGTCGTGGTGCATCAGTTTGTGAAAAAACGCGAAGCGTATAATTTTCCCGGTTTACATTTGCACTTCTGGCGGTTCACCAAGGAACGCGCATTAAAACGTCCGCGAACCGATAGTCGAAATCGTAAATCGCCATTCTTAACGTTGGAAAACCGCGGCCTGCGCCGCTTTTTGGCACTTGAGGTTGCGTCGCTGTTTAACGCAGAAGCGATGCAACGAGCGATGATTTAAACGCCGACGAGCTCGCAGTCGGACCCCAGTCGAAAAGTGGACTCGCATGATTCGAGAAGCCTGTGAGAAGTGTAAAACGTCGAAATCATACTCATCAAGTTGTTGTTGCAAGGATGATGCTAAGGAAATGTAGCCTCGACTCGCGAATGGTAAACAAAGTGTAAAATTTATAGAATTGAAAAAAACAATAACATAATTTTATTCAGTAAAAATTTATTTTGAAATAAAAAAATATTATAAATTTATTTTAATTTAAATAAAAAATTCTTGCTTGCGCTGAAAACTTAATTAAGCAAATATCTTTCTGTATTTTTAGGAATGAACTGTATTTTTAGGAATGTACTTATAAATCTGATTTTTAATGTGTATTTTTTAATAACGATGAATGAGAAACTAATGTTTCCGATAACTTTCTCCATTTTTTATCTATTTTACATTAAATTCCTAATGATCGTAAGATCAATCAGAACATCCTTTAAAGCTCTCTGAAGTTCACCTATTCCTCGTTCATTGGCAATTCGAGTTCCTAATGCTTGTCAAACTTGATTCCTCAAGTTTTTTTCTCAAGACCTTTTCAACAATATCCTTGATGAACTTTCTCAAGATTTCAAAATTGATGAAAACTGAACGGACAATGTTTTCGTACTGTGCAGAAAGCGATGGCAGCGCAACAGCAGCGGCAGACAGTCACCTCGACCGGTATTTTCAACCACGAGAAGCACATAGCCTCGAGCTCACAATCGAGCATCACGATCGCGTCCAAATCGGGCGTGAGTTCATCCAAATCGATGATCAGTGCTGCGAGTGCAGTTAATCAACTGATGAACGGCATGCGACCACCAACCGCTGAGGATGAGCTTTTGTCCTTACCGTTGGATGACTTGGATCTACTTTGTTCCAAGTCAAATCCGCAGGATGTGGACTGTGCCATCGCCAAGTATTGCAGTCTACTCGACAGCTTCGTGGAGCGGTTAAAGGTGAGCGCCGACAGTGGCAAGAGCAGTAACAGCGGCAGCAAAGCGCCACAACTGTTGAACAGGGTGAACGAGATCATCCGGAAGGCTTGGGCAGTGCCTACACATGGCCATGAGTTGGGTTATACCCTGTGCAACACCCTAAGGACGCGCGGCGGTCTTGATCTACTCATGTCAAATTGCATAGCGAATGATCACGAATTGCAGTTCTCGTCGGCCAGATTACTAGAGCAATGCTTGACTACGGAGAATCGCGCTCACGTGGTGGAGAACGGCCTGGAGAAAGTGGTGAATGTCGCATGTGTGTGCACGAAGAACGCCAATTCGGTGGATCACGCGCGCGTCGGTACCGGGATACTCGAGCATTTGTTCAAACACAGCGAGGGCACCTGCAGCGACGTCATCAGATTAGGTGGTTTGGACGCGGTGCTATTTGAATGTCGAAAAAATGACGTGGAGACTCTGCGTCATTGTGCAGGTGCATTAGCGAACCTGTCGCTGTATGGTGGAGCTGAGAACCAAGAAGCGATGATCAAGCGGAAGGTGCCAATGTGGTTGTTTCCGCTTGCTTTTCACAACGATGACAACATCAAGTATTACGCTTGTCTAGCGATCGCCGTGTTGGTCGCCAACAAAGAGATCGAGGCGGCCGTTCTCAAGTCCGGCACCCTCGATCTCGTCGAACCTTTCGTCACGTCGCACAATCCCTACGAATTCGCTAAATCGAACTTAGCGCACGCACATGGTCAGAGTAAGAACTGGCTGGAAAGGCTTGTGCCGGTCCTAAGTTCTAAACGAGAGGAGGCTCGCAATCTAGCAGCTTTTCACTTTTGCATGGAGGCAGGTATCAAGAAGCAACAGGGCAATACTGATATCTTCCGAACGATCGGCGCGATCGAGCCGTTGAAGAAAGTAGCCAGTTGTCCGAACGCGATTGCGTCTAAATACGCAGCACAAGCTTTAAGATTAATCGGCGAAGAAATTCCGCATAAACTTAGCCAGCAAGTGCCTTTATGGTCTACTGAGGACGTTCGAGAATGGGTAAAGCAGATCGGTTTCGCCGAAGTAGCCCCGAACTTTGTGGAAAGCCGAGTGGATGGCGACTTACTGCTGCAGTTGACGGAGGAGAATCTGCGCGAGGATATCGGTCTGACCAACGGTATTATGCGTCGCAGATTCGCTCGCGAGCTGCAGAACCTGAAGAAAATGGCTGATTACAGTAGCCGCGACACTGGTAACTTGAATAGCTTCCTGCAGTCGATCGGCCAGGAGTTCTCCATCTACACGTATAGCATGCTGAACGCCGGAGTAGACAAGGACTCGATACGAAATCTCTCGGAGGATCAGTTACTGGCGGAATGTGGCATCACCAATAGTATTCATCGGCTCAGGATACTTGACGCCATCAAGAATATGCAGCACAATCAGTTCAGTTCGTGCGAGTACGAATCGCCTGACAAGTCCCTTGACGTTTTCGTCAGTTATCGTAGATCGAACGGCTCGCAACTGGCAAGTCTGTTGAAGGTACATCTACAGTTGCGGGGTTTTACGGTTTTCATCGACGTCGAAAGGCTTGAGGCTGGCAAGTTTGACAACAACTTGCTACAGAGCATCAGGCAGGCCAAACACTTCCTCCTCGTACTTACACCCCAGGCTTTGGAGAGGTGTATACAAGACAGCGAGTGCAAGGATTGGGTACATAGGGTGAGTCTGAATATCTTTCATCGTTTTTTTTCGTTAGAAAAATATTGAAATATTTTTACAGTTTTTTTTAACCCTCAGTACACACAATGGGATCTCACTCGATTTTCATAGTTCACGTTTTCTTCCGATTCCTTTTCACTTATTGCAAAATATCTTTTGTGCTGCGATATTTTAGGCTTTCTGATTCAAAAATTCTTTTTTTTTCAGTCTTCAAATGATAGATTAAAAAAATTTGTTAAAATCGATGCATCACAATCCGAGAAACAAGCAAAAGAAAACGCTGGGTTACAAATATCCTGATGTGGGTCTGATACGGACTGCCAGAGTTGTGTGTACTAAGGATTAATTATACATTATTAAATTATTTAAAATGTATGCTTGCTTTTTTCGTTTTATCAATTTCGAAGTCGCAAAAAAGAAATGAATAAATTCTCAATTAACTCAATTCATTTTTTAGAAAATTTAAAATTAAAGAAGAGAAAGCTTTAAAAAATATCTTTTACTAATTATCTTTTTTCTCAGCAAATGAAAATATTCTAAAATTGAGAGTATTTAATTTATTTTGCGAAGTGTATCAATTTATTTTTTTATTATCTTATAGGAAATTGTTGCCGCGCTGCAATCACAATGCAACATAATCCCGATCATTGACAATTTTCAATGGCCGGAACCTGAAGAACTTCCTGAAGACATGCGCGCGGTTTGCCATTTTAACGGTGTTCGTTGGATTCATGACTATCAAGACGCCTGCGTAGACAAATTAGAAAGGTAAAGTAATTAATTTCTTTTTTACATTTCTTTTTTTTTTTTTTATTAAAAGGAAATGACTCAGAATGAAGAAGACAATTTCTAAAAAATAAATTCTCTAAAACAAATTATAGCTGAAATATTTACCAGTCGCTTTCTAAGATTAATAATTTTATTTTAAATACAATTTTAAATACAATTATGTTTACTGTATCACAAAATAATTGTTATAATAATTTCATTAATTATTTAATTATTTTACTTTGACAAAATAATATAATACAAATATATACATATAAAGATATATGATAAATACTTAAGATAACTTTTTAATGTTTGCTTTTCATCATTGTGCAGGTTTATGCGAGGTGAGATACCTATGAGATCTGATCTGTCTAGTGGAATTCCACGCAGCATGGCTCCCAAGGACGTGACCCAACCGAGCACACCAGCTAACGCGAATATGCGACAACCGCCGAACTATCAGCGAATGCACAGCAACGAAAGCAGGGGCAGCGACAAAGATTCCACGGGCGGGCGAGACTGACTAGACGGCCCGCCCACAGCCATATCGAGCAGGTAATTATCTCTGATAATTTAGCATATAACCCTAACGTTGAGTTGAGTGAATCGATTCGTCAATGTCCAAGAAAAAAATCTAAAATTTGCAGAATCCATTAACACCTCGATACCAAGAACTCAGTCTTAATCTACATATTGATAATTTGATGTTAAATCAATTATTATGAATAAAAAGAATTTATATATAATTTGGAATAATTTTATTAAAAATAATTGAACAAGGAAAATTTATAATAATAAATAACAAACTAGATTTATCGTAATAGACCGAAAATATTTTAATAAAAAGTTCATTTCTTAAAAATATCCAAAAGAGAGCTAAGCGATTTCAGATAATAATAAATATTTTTAATTTAATCCGAATTACTAAAAATTAGCAAATTTGTTACACTGGCCGCTACGAATCGATTTACGATGCGATTTTGAAGCGAGCTCTACTAACGCAATGCTAATTTTTGTTTTCACGCAGCCAAGATTGTGAATCGCTCTATGACAATCACGACTAGGTCAGTCAGCGATACAAATTCTTTATCAATGTTTAAACGGTGACAAAATATATCACTATCCTATCGCTTTTGCTAAACCTTTGTGCTAAATCAGTTCCTGGTACCTTTGATATCGTTGCACTTTTTCAGTTCCATGTTACACGTAGATATATGTGTTTGTGATGTAGACGTATAATTTAAGGTGAAGGTTTAGATAAATTTTTGTCTACTTGAATGTCAGATGTTTATTACAGTCTATATGTAGAATAAAAAAAATTATCCTTTAATTAAATATCTCTTAACTAATAGATAATACTCGTATATTGCTAAAAGTTAATCAAAATAATTACATAAAGATTTTACGTTTAATTTTTAATCTTAATAACAAATTTTGTTGATTCTATAATTGATTTTTTGAACGAAAATTTAAAAAATATACATACTAGCAAATGCAATAATTTTAATTTTTCACACGTTGACGTCAATGTTTACATACATAGTATTATTTATTGATTTTATATTTATTGATCTAAATGGTAAAACTGTACGATATAATTTTGCATGATATAATCCGATAATTCTTCGGTGTTCGATATAAGAAAATTTGAGATAAATTCACAATATTAGAATTGTAGGAATATAAAATGAAAATATTAGTTTTTCGAATGATATGATATATACATAGAATAGATTTTATAACGAATCAATGAAAATTCGAAATTAATATTTATTTTTTTCTAAACTTCCTAAAAATTATTTTTAATATTTTGATTGAAGATATATGAAAGATATCTAAAAGAAATGAGATTATGAATATTCTTGTTTTACCTAACACCGAAGAAAGCAAACGAGAAACGCATTTCTCGCTGAGTCATGATTTTGCAATAAGTTCTATTTTCGTGTTGTAGACTTAGAAAGTCGTCGAGTCCATCCCGTTGGTTGATGGGCCTGCCACCCACGTCGCCGCGCTTCAAGTTCATGTACACGCATCCGGTGGGTGCCAGCAACAACCAGGCAGTACCTCGCAGGCCACCGCGGCAGCCACCCTTACCATCAACGCGATCTCGTTCGCTGGAGCTGCTGGATCAACAGGATCAGGAACAGAAGTCAGTCTCTTCCACGATCGTCCAACGACCACCACTTCCTAGGCCAAGATCACGCAGTCTGGATGGTTTGCTGGATGAAGATGCGAAGAACGGTGAAGAGCAAAACAAAGGGCAGTGCGAGAAGGATCGAGAATGCCCTTCGATGAATTCAGAAGAAAATAAAATTGTACCTGCTTCAGAAAAAAACCAGAAAAAGCCTAATATTGAGGCTGTTGAATCCAAGGATGAACTCAGATCGATTTGCAGAATAAAACCGAAAGTGCCTAACGAGTTCAAATCCGAAACGGAGGACAAGCGAATATCTTTGAACAAGAATGACAAGGAAGCTCTACCGATACGTCCTCCGAAGCCGAGTCGACGTTCCAACTCGGAAGGACAGTCCTTGACAGGTTCCAACAAACAATGCGCAGAACAAGAGCATCCAATTGAAGAACAGAGGATCAAGAAGATAGCGCAGGAAAGATTGAAGACACGAGTGATTGAAGACAAGAGTGACAACGAAAATGATGACTATGACAACGACGACAAATCGACGATGCTGCTTAAGGCATCAAGAAGCTGTGGTGCGGGATTAGACTCTGACGGGAGCATTTCGTCAAGCGAATACGGTGGACATAGAGCTCATCGCGCAAAGGGACCGGGTTCACTGTTATCGCTACCAGCGGGCGCGGAACCTAAACGCAAACGAAACTTCATGGACAAGTGTGTGAACAAGGTGCGGTCGTTCATAAAAAAGTGAAACAATAAGACTTCTTGTTATTTAATTCCGCAAATTGGTCGAAGTAAGGCGCGCGTGCGCGCGCGCGAACCCTAATAAGTCCAAATCTAAAAGATGCTGTGACAGATAACTGAATAATTACGATATTCTGATCACTTAAAAAATTTTATATCTTAAAAGTATTTGAAAGTTTTCAAAAGAATCAGGAAAAAATTGTAAACATCCCGATAGTGAGATTAGAAAACATTTATAAAAAGCTTCAGTGATCAAGATGTATTAAATTTTTTTATGAGTATCGAATAATCATAGTCTTAAAGACCAAAAGGACGCATTTAAAAAATATTTAGAAAAAATTTGGCTGAGCAAACTATTTAAATGTCTTTTATACATTATTTGAAAGAGTCTTTGAAACTATTGCTTATGAAAATATTCAGCAGTCGGTGATTCCTGAATTTCGTGTATTTAATTTTACGATACGAAAACGTAATTCGAATTTTGTGATCCGTTTTGTGTACAATGATAGGCAGCATGAAAGTATATAGCGAAATGTGCCTAAAGATGCAACACAAGTGTCTTCATAGAAGCCTCAAGATCTTGACTTGGCAACGTATGTTTACGCGAATTAGCCTGCTTTTCCAGGTGCCTTTTTGTATTGTATTGTCTCTCGTTAAATTGTATGAATATTATATATGTAGAAATGAACGAGAAATTAAGGCGGCTAAGTCGATATTTGTAATACTATTTTTCTAGGCAGTTCTTTTCTCTTAGACCTCGTTTAAGGAGACGCATGTGACTTGCGTGGTCACGAATTATGGTTGTTCTTATTGCAGCTAACACTGAAAAATACACTACATTGTACACAGTTATACACGATTGTATGGAGTGTTCGATACGCGCGGTTCGGCGGTATTCCTCTTTAAATATCAAGACTATATTAAAGCTAGAAAAAACTAACGTTTTCTTTAATATTCAAATACAACGTACTTTTTTATAGGTAGAATCTCAGAATATATTTCTTAAATATCTTGATATATCTTAAATTAAGTTTCCATCGAGATGAAATCCTTCCAAAATTAGTCAAAGAATATTTTACAAGATTTCTATCTTTTCTATTATAAAATCCTGAACTATTCTTGTGTTTTTAACGAGAAAAAAATAACTGTATATCCCTATTAATTTTTAATAGGGAATATCGTCATGTGTGTATGTCTGTGTGTTTGTGTGCGTATGTGTGGAAAGATAAAAATCGAACACTCGATACATAATGTGACTGTTTCCCAGATCGCGCTATATTTTATTATTTAACACTATTTTTACTATTGCCTATACACTCTCGCCGAAAATCGAAACGGCAACGCTTCGATATTCGTAGTTTAAGAAATCCGCCTGATTATTGCAAAACTGTATATTTTACCAAAGTTTCATAAAGTTACGGATTTTATTGAAATGTTTGAATGTTTCTTAGAAATAAATTTTATTTAGCAAGACAAAATCGCTTATCTCTCTTCAGCCTCTTTTCAGTATAAAGAAAAAAAGATAGAAAAAATTAGGTTTATTTTCTTTGTCTCTTTTTTATTAAAAAATATCAAATATTTTATTTGATATTTTTTAATAAAAAAGAGGCAAAGAAAATTTATAATAAAGACATCTTTATTTCGCAATATTTATCATATCAACACGTAATAAAACTTACAAATTAATAAATATTTATCTAACATCAGTAATTTACGCATCTTACAACTTTGTTTATTTTGTTCAGATTTTAATCGTTTTAAAAAATATGATAAAATTATTATCTCGTCGTGTGTCTCTGAGTGAAAAAATTTTTTATATGTCTTATGTTAAAAATGTCCAATATAAATTAAGCATAATTATATATAAAGAGGCTATAACGATATAAGAGGCTCGAAGTCTCGAGCCGTAAAGACATCGTTATAATTTTGTACAATTCTATATGATAGAGCGAGGCTTTTTCCATTTCTTGCGATAATGTTTATGTTTCTGAAGCACATTGAATATTTAAAGGTTGTGTTCTTAAGGAGCAATCATAATTACGTAATATAATTGTAAGCACTTTAAAGAGATATTGTTTGCCAGTGTAAATCATATTACTTGAAATTAACGAAATAAGCCCCGCCTTATTCTATTTATTTTCGTTAATATGAATATCTATATTATATAAAAGCAAAAAATATTTGTTGCCTCTTATTCAGAAAAAAACTTATTCAAAAGGAAAGAATTCGTTTCATTTTAATGCATCTTAAGGTATTTGAAACATTGACATACATACACATCTATCTAAAATTATATAAAATAAAATTCTTATCTATTGATAATATCATTGCGACCTCTCAGCCTGCGCATTAAAATCATATCGTTTCGCATAAGAGTGACCCGTTTAGTATGTAATGCCAGCAATACTGCGTCTTCAAAGAATTGCACGAGATACATCTCAGTCGCTTCTTGCAGGGCTTCAAGAGCAGTGGCTTGTATTCTACAAATTAATTACTTAATTTTGTTGAATGCTGTAATAATCAAAATATAAGAATCTCCCATTGAGATTCATATTTGTTTCGATAATTTTTTTCATTATATATAAAAGTCCAAATTTTAGTTTAAATATATATAAATATATATAGATATATATAAAAAAAGTTTAAATATTTTTTTATATATATATATAATAAAACACTGATTTTTATTTTTTTCATGATTTTTTTATACATACAACATGGGCTGAAAAGTCCCGGGATTTTCAACTTGGCGCCACTAGAAAATGAACATGATTCATTTCAAGAGGTTTATCTGTCACTAGTTTATATGAAGTTTCATGACATTTCGTTCATTCGTTTACAAGCTACAGTCGTTTAAGTGGCGCTACTTTCGCCTTCGTTCTGTACCATCCGATGTACCGATAACGCATCGTCCTTGAAAGCGATGGCCAAATTGGACCAATTACGATTCGAATTGATTGCTCACCCACCGTATTCTCCAGACATGGCTCTCAGCGATTATTATCTGTTCCCAAACCTCAAGTGGTGGCTCCAGGGAAAGAGATTCACATCGAATGAGGAAGTCATCGCAGAAACCGAGGCGTATTTCGAAGGCTTGGACGTTTCATACTACAGAAAGGCATCGAAATGTTGGAAAATACCAAGTGTATCACCCTCGAAGGCAACTATGTTGAGGAATAAATATAACTTTGCCCAAAAAACGCTTGTTTTCATTAAAAATCCCAGGACTTTTCAGCCCATGTAAAACATTCTTTTCTATAGCACACGTAAAATAAAATTACTCTCTTCTTAATTAATTAAATCATACAATCATATAAATGAATATGTAATCGAATAGTATCATATAATTGATGAAAAATTTATGGTTTATAAATTGATGTTATATTTACCTGGTGATATTCTTTCTGGGAAATATGTCGATGATAATTTCTCTGACTAAACGTGCAAAAGATAGTTTAGGTATGACAAAGTGTGTAGTTCTCCTCAGATGTTTAATTTCCTGCAGCACATGGCTCTTCCGTTTATGTTTACTTACTATTATAGTTGTCTGAAAACAATTATTCAAAATTAACAATAATTAATTTAATATATTTATTATAGCATGTATATACAAATATATATAACATAATTTATTTCATTAGAAAATTTAATGCATTCAACACTTATATAGGATTTAATCTAACATTTATCATTGAGTGTCTTTCATTTAGAAACATAAATTTATACAAATGTTTTATCTTTGCAAAAACAGAACCAGACAGAATGATACTTGTGTCAACTTATGTCACTAAATAAAAAGCATCTACTTACATTGTCTTTATCTGCTCTTTTCTTCGAAGAATTGTTTGCTGGACTGAAATATATTATTTGTACATTATATAATATATATATAGATATTTCATTAAAAAATATGATCTGATATAAAAAAAATCATACAATAAAAATACTAATTAATAAATACTAAGAGATTACTAGATTATTATTACATAAATGCACATAGAAATATGTATGACAGCATTAGTGAAACATAATTTATTACACGACTAATGATTATTACATCAATATATCAAATAACTGTAAATAATTGTAAGAAACATGAAAAGCAAATATAGACATCAAATAGAAATAAGATTAACCTTGGAGTAATTTTTCGTCTAACCATCGTCACTGAATTGCAGACATTGACAAATTCTTAATATTATAAACAACAAACTAATTCGGATTCAGGATTCAGTAAAAAAGAACTTTGAATCAGACTTAATTGAATCAGATTTAAATCAGACATCAACAAACAATCTGATCTGTGTAACTGTGAACTAACGGTTGGCGGCGTTGGCGCCAATTCTGCTCGAACCTAACTTAATCTGAAAATGAACCAATTGAAAGAACACAAGAACACAGCGTTCAGAAATTGCGTCTAGCTCTAATTCTAAGCTATAGGTTACGTTATGTATGTATATTATAGCAAAAAATGTACTCTAGAGCGTAATTTCTGAACGCAACCCAGTGAGAATTTGGAGATGAAAAATTTATTCAAATTTAAAGGTGTTACTAGAATATTAAATTACCTAGAATGCGGAATGCTGATATCAAAAGGAGAAAATATCGCAATTTAAATAACAAAAAATTAATAGTAATATGATAAATTAACAATATGATAATAGGATATATAATAAATATTATGATAATGTATGATGAATAACGACGGCGAAAACTTTCGGTGGAATCAGATTTTATTTCGAAGCATAAATTTCGCACTAAGAAGTTGGTGAGTCTGACTGCAACTGCGGGTGGTAACGGTGCTCGGTGGTGTAGTTGTCATTCTTTTTTCCTAAAGTGTGGTAGGGTGATTTTCACGTTGCTCTCGTATATTGCGGTTCTGTGATTGTCGTACATAAAATGCGTTAGCTATCGATCTTGCAGACCAGCCCGAACAGCATTTCGCTCAGGTGAGACCACGATTTTCATATTTTGCGTTTTATGCACGGATGCGAACTTGTCGCGCGCTTTTGAGGTTAACTCTCGCTCGTCAAACTGAAGTTCCTTTCACTCCTGTTGAAGAAGGTACACGTTGTTGTCACTCGTCAATCTGATAGTATTGGTACTCGCGTATATTCGCGAATACTAGCATGTACGTGAGTATTCGCGATCGCTCGCGTAACTTTTGGAATTTTGTCCAAGGGAACGTGAGAAATTGGTGACGACACGGTCTTAGTTTGAAAAATTATAAATTTTTGAATTGATTTACTTCGCAAAACTCAGGCATTTAATTTAGGCTGTTTATCTTTTAGAAGATACAATCGATATAAACATTGTTCTATCCTCCTCTATTCAATGAATAAAAAAAATAGAACATTTCGTTTCTTAAAAGGAAAATAGCCATAATCAATGCTTCAAATTTTCGTTCTTATCAAAGTTTATCCAAGTTCGATTTCACTTTAACTTGTAGTAACATTTTTTTAAATGTAGTTGATTGTAAGAATATGCCGAATAAAGTATTAGTAAAAAAATTTAATTAATTTACATCCTATATATTGCTGATGCCACCTCTTTTTTTGTTCATAACTCTATTTTTATTAGCTCTATTTTAAATAGAATTAATTCAAATAAAATTTCAAATAGAATTAATTAATCAAAAAGAAATCAATTTAATTAATTTCTTTTTTTCCAGGATTTTTTAAATGTATCATTTTTTATTAACAATGCATAATATTTTTGTTGCAGTGCAGTGTAACATAGTGAATATATAGAGTATGACGGAGCCAAAACCATCAGGACTAAGACCGCCGTCAAAGATAGGACGGCCTTGCTCTACCATGCCTCCTAGACCAGCGATTCCGCCTTCTCCAATGAGACCAACGACCAGTGAGTCTTTAACAAAATTGTGTACCGTTCTTTTTTATTGCATGTATAATATATTTTTATGTTGCTATAATCATATATCGTATTTATTATCCATTTTTATAATAGTTTTATAATATACTAATGGTTTTATACTAATATAAAAATGGGTATGATATATATATATAGATATCTGACACTGATAGAGAGATCTAAAAGGAAGTATTTAATAATATCTCGTGTTAAGTAGAAAAATAGATGATGTATTAATAAATGTATATATAAATGTATAGATAAATGTATATACCTGTTCTTTATAACACTTTATTTCTTATCTATATAAGATAATAATAGAGTATCTCAAAAAGGAGAATGTTAAGTTTTTGCTATTCTTCGATCAAAATAAAAAAATTCCAAGATGTACAGATTATATATCATATTAAAGAGTAACTCAAACGGAATAGCTTTTTATTATGTAATTTATACATCTCGGAACTTTTCATTTTGACCGAAAAACAGCTTCAATATCCTCCTTTTTATATCCCTTTTTAATTCCGATTTTAATTCATAAAACAAATTTATAAAATTCATAAAACAAATAGGAAGAATCTTGCCAAAAATAAAAATCTTTTCGTGATTATTTCATAAGTACATGAAGGAAATATTTATTACCGTTTGCCTCATATATATTTTAAATTATGTATTTGTTGTATTAATAGGAATGCTCGTAAATTTAACCAGAAAGGTACAAATCAAATGTAATTAAATTTATCAAATATTCTAGTTGAGATAACCAGAATTCTTATTTATATAATTAAAATTTGTCTTTGTATTTCTTGTTGATACAACCAGAACATTTTTCTCAGTGTAATGTAAATTAATGGACAATTTAAATGATATATGAAATTATAAACAAACCTTTATTTACATTGTCAATGTTTTCGTAATGCTAATTTATTTATGCTATAAAAGTGTTTATATGGAGTATGTTTTGACGAGAGTACTACATTATCGCGAACGTTGTTACAACTCGAACATATACCGCGAGTGTCTCGTTAATTTGTCCCGACACACCGGGAACACCGTGCACGCCCACAAGTCGGTCATGAACGAGCGTGAACGCGAGTCCGCAAGTTGCTCGCACGAGTCGTTCTTTGGTCGTTCACGACGACGCATCCTTTGTGTGTGAGAGAGAGAGAGAGAGAGAGAGAGAGAGAGAGAGAGAGAGACAAAGAAAAAGAAATTGGTAAATATTTTTCACAGAAAAGAAATTCTTGAGAATTAATGGTGAATCGCGAGAGTCTATCGCAGAGTAGTGCATTCTTTTCTGTTTCCTTAAAAGAAGAATAGAAACGGAAACATTTCTATTTGCTTTGTGTCGAAATTGCGGTGAGTTTAACTGATCGTCGAGAAAACACTACGATCTAATAATAATTATTTTAAATTTTTTATTGCATTTTGCAAAATAACATTTTATTTTTATTATATTTTATTTAACCCCACACATTAATTATCACTCAATTCGATTATTGCGATTTATAAATGTTGCTATTCTACATGAAAGTTGAGCAACTTGCCTTGTCGCGATTAATTGAAAGTGGTCCATATTTTTTATCCATTTTTAGCAAGCTATATTTTTAAACGATAAATCGGTTTTTTTAAAAAATGAAAATGATTGAAACGACTAAGAACATTCGCAAAGTATAATTGGCAAAAAATTTGGAAAGTAAAACAAATCTCTCGGAAATAATATCTTAACGTTACAAGCATTTAGCGTTTTTAAATATTAATTGATAAAGTAATAATTAATTAATTGTATATGTGTGTGTGTATTTAACTCGGTTAGTCTATTTGATCCAAAATGTAATTTATTTTCTGACTAATATTTTATTAAAAATTTTTTTCTGATATTTACGATGATTTCTTCTGTTAAGATTTTTTTCTATGAAAATTTTTAAAACTTTTTTATAATATTGACACAAATGATAATATTAAATTTAAACAAACCAGGGTTAATATATTACTGCCATACGTCAAATCAAATTAAATATTTTCCATATATGACATACATAAATGCTTGATAGTAATAATAATAATTAAAATAGTTTTTTTCAGAAAATTTATCGTCGCTATATATCATCGCTTTATTATCCTTATACTAACTTTTACGTAATAATCTCTTCTTCGATCACACGACGAACCGATTTTTCTTCGCATTAAATCCATACAATTACGTTTTAACATTAGTTTACAATTTTTCCTTGTTTTCTTTAATCTAAAATCTGAATTCTTATTTTCTCTTTTATTTCCTCTTCCGAGAATTTTTCTAAATTTCTTCGTTAGTTATTATTATCTTCTTATACTTTTCTGTTCTCTTTCTTTCTTTCCTTTCTCCGATCTCTTTCCTTTTTTTTTTTTATTTTTATTTTGTACAACTTTGTTCTCACAATGTAATGCAAGGGAATATAAGGCACTGCGGAAAACAAATTTTGTGTCGCTTTATTTTCTGCCGCGCAGATTCTCAGCGCACTTCTTAATGATGCATAACGAGGTGCGTTTTCGCGATCGCCTCTGGTCGCATCCAGGGCACGTATCTTGCCTTATTGGTGCAACGCCATTGAATTGCCTTCGCTGCACAATCGTCGGCTGACGCATTGCGATTATGCAAGTCGGTGTTGATCTCGCGCCCGCAATTTCATCCCGGGCGTTTCATCTTTCCTCCCCGCGATTCCTTCTTTTTTCTTCGATTTTTTATTCTTGTTCTCTTTTCCCTCCTATTTTAATTTCTCGTACGAGATCGATTGATCGTCTCCAGTTTCGCAATTCGATCAGAAGACTCAAGGCCTCCGCTTTTCGTTTTGCTTTATCGCGAGATCTCGTGGAAAGAATATGCAGCGTGAAAAGAATTGTCAGTAACCACTAAAATTTTAAATAAAGAGGAACGTCTTAAATGTCAAAAAATTAAAATTACATATATATTTTTAATTATCTAAAATTAGTAATTTAATGAAGAATATAAATTAACTCTTACAGATTGGTTTCTTATTTCAGTTATTTCAGTCTCGGTTCTTATTTCAAAATCGTCTTAATATTTTAAAGAGTCATTCTGTGATCGGTTTATAATATTTTAAGACTGTACTTAAGGTGATCTTTGATATAAAAATTGACTACACACGATTTTCTGTCCTTTAACTTTACACATAATGAATTGTTTATATCTCGCGAATTAATTTTCATCACTTTTACAAAATTATAAAAAGTATTAATATGATTCTTGCATATGCTTTAGAAAGTCATCTTTAGAAAGTATTTGTAAAGCTGTGTTTTAAAAAAAAAAGGAAAGAATAGAGACCATTATTCAACCAGGTGTTCCTAG